CCAGTGGAATCGCAGCAAATGGAATTAATCGTTTAGCTCTATCCCCAGTGAAACTATTCAGGTTGAAATCTAAAAATATTTTATCAAGTGATATGTATTAATTGTTGTCTCTAACACTGAAGACAGATGTAGTGTGTAGTCCACGTATAATATAGTCAGTAGTAATGTGTATAATGTGAATGACTGAAATAAATAAATACATTTATTAATCCTTCTGTTTGCATTCATTAATATCAAGACTCATGTTATTACAAAGAAAGTGAGCTCTAACCTCTTATCTTTAAAATGTCTGCAGAATGCAGCAAATGCACCTGTCGGTGTTCAAGAGGAGTTGGGACGAGAGGTGAAGCTTTACCTGCTGCGGAACCAAGATGGGTCATTCAAAGAACCTACTGATGTAGGAACTGTGAATAAAGGCATCACTGTCCTCAGACTGATGCTAGTTGTAGGGACTAACCTATGCCTTGGATCTGAAAACCCCAAGAATCTCAAAAGTTACAGTTTTGAGGTCTTCCAAAAAGTGCTGCTTCAGTGACTGAAAAATTACCTGTGTACCTTGCTGACTACTGTCTGGCAAGATGCTCTTATAATGTGGCTGGTGGATTGTCTTAATGTTTACATAAGAGAACATTGGATTTTGGACTGGTATTCAGTTCTGTTGTGTAATTGTTAATCACACAATGTCACTGTAATCACTATGAGTTCAGTTAAGCCAATTATTCTCATAGCATGGACAATTTATTAGATACACCTGAACAGTCTAATGTAATTCACAGCAACAGCTCTGCCATAAACTTTTCTTCTACAAAGTTTACAGTGTTAAGGTTTTTGTGAAATTGTCAGAAATGTGTAAATAGGCCTCCAACTATATGTTTGAGGTGATAGTTAAAGGTGGTGTTGTACTGTTGTACATTATAGTGAGAGGTTTCTCTTTTTTTTGTCCTCCCTATTTAAATCCATTTGGTGAGAATAATATTAGAAAAACCTCTGACTCTAATGTAGTCCAGTCCAACAGCATCTCCAGCTATGACCCCAATGCTAAAACAACACCTCTGTGACACTTAACAGTCCATTACCCTTAAATGTATCATAAAAGAAGACTTTATAGCAAAGCAGTAGATTGTTCGAGGTCTACCTAATAAATTGTCTATTTCTACAAGACTGCATACGTCGTCTTCATCAGAGTGCACCGTGTTACTACAGTAGCTCTGAAGGGAAAAACCAAACAATGACTCCCATTTTTCAGAAGTTTCACTGCCACCGTAGTTTCTCCTACACACTTGGCCCTACCTGGCTAGAACCTTTGGTTTGTCCGTTCTGCACTACTGTAGAAACATGACTGTGTAGCGTGGCAGACTCTGAGTAAGATGACCTGTGCCCTCTGTACACATAAAAAGGCTCATTATAGGTGATTATACACAAATGAAACATACTTGTGAATATCATATTCTATTTCTGCTATATTTTGCAAAGTTAATTCAAAGGCCAATTGTTCTTGGCGCATTTTACCCATTTTTTTAGAGACGGCTTACTAATGTGCAGAGTTGAGCTCACTGTTTTTATAGTGTGGTAATTGTTACATATGTCATTTGTAATTTTGTTGTTTTTCTTGAAATATATTGTGTATGTACTCCTGGATATAAAGGGTAAATATAGCTAAAAGAATTAAGTACATGTAACATATATTGATTTTGATAATTGATAGTTAAATATAAATTGAATTCCAGTAATTCATTGAGTAAATGTTGCACATTTGATGTGTTAAATAATAGTAATGTTTCTATTTATATCTACTTTAAAAATTCAGTTATATCTACTCAATTTTATTAGTGGTTTTCTCAAAGGGTTTCTACTACATTGACTTAAGATTTTGATTAGATCTACTTAATTTTATCTGTCTGGATAATTAACTAATTTTTTTTAACTTACATTTACTAAATTAATAAGTTATATTTACTTGATTTCACAGCTTTTAGATTTACTAAATGTTTTTTAAGTGTAAAAATTTTTCACCAATAAAATTAAGTTTATCCCAGTAATAGTTTTTAGAGTGTAGTTGTCCAGCGCTAAAAACCTGCGCGAGGAAATCATTGCGAAGACTAAATTTGCGTTGTATGTGAACACAGCTAAGAGAATGTCCTTCATACATTTTTTATGAGTAAACACAAAAATGTTGAAATGTGCTTTAAACTGGAATTGTGTCCATGATTAACTTTCTATTATCAGAGTTGGGTCTATATACTTATTGATATTATATTCCTGGTTAGCACAAGCTAAGAAATCTATGTACTTTATATTTCCTTGATGTTATAACATGTATAATTTTATTGTCAAAATAACTATTTCAGAAAACAACATTAAATTGTTTTCATTTTCTGCAGATGGCTGATATTTGTACTGTAATTTAACTGTGTGGGGGTTAAAAAAGTTGGCCCTTCCTACAATCCAAAAAATGTTGCCACATAACTAAATCCAGGCAGCAATTTTGTTTCTAGCAAAATGTATTAAGCAAAAGAAAATACTACACATTAACTTACTCCTTAAAAGGTAAATTATTATCATAACAATTTAATAATGCATTGCATTTAAACAGCATCTTTTATTATTCTTATATTACTTGCATTTGTTTATTTGTTTATTCCATATTTATATATGTCTACATTTATTTATGTTATGTTTGTGTACGAGTAGCACCTTATCACTAAAGCAAATTCCTCGTACATGTAAAATACTACTTGGTAATAAAACTCTTTCTGATTCTGATTATTTTCAGTCCTACCAGGCTGGACATGCAGACTGCCAAAATATGTATCCCCGTCCATAACACACAGATGACAGCCTACCATCAAGTATTTAATTTTGTGTATATTCACATCATGACTAATAACAGGGGTGATTATGGAGAAGTTTCTATTTTCCTGGCAAAAGTTGTAGTGGGATACAAATTGTTTCAGACTGTATTTTCAACCCGCCATAAAATAAATTCTAAAAAGAAAAATCTATCGAGCACATCACTTTTTTCTTTGTTAAACGACATCGCTGAGAGATTCATATCAAAAGGATGAATGCATGGGAGGATGTGAGCAAAGATGTGCGGCACAGGCGGCTGTCACCAATTGGCGAAACCCGATGGTGGGCCAAAGACGCTGCGCTTACAACAGTGTTTGGGAAGTTTGGGGATCCAGAGGGATGTCTTTACATTAATCTTGTTGTTACACTCAAGACCCTGCGATGCGTGCAAATTCCGATGCTTATGCAGAGGCTCTGCTGAAATACCAAACCATCCTCACTGTCCAGACATTTTTACGCATCTTCCAACAAACAACTCCACTTTCCAAGTATTTAAAAACAAGTGGAAAGGATTTGCTCACGGCATCGCTTTGTCACAAGCAAACATGACAATATGAAAAAATATGCAAGGGATTTTAAGAGGGTAAAGGCAGCAACAGATGCATTTGTGCAATGGGCCAATAGAGAATTAAATGTGTGTGAGACAGACACAGAGGTGGAACACACGCTGCCAAACCGGAGACCAAAGAAGACAAAAAGGATGCCAGGCGAGTTATGTGATGATACAGCCATATCAGATGCTGACAGCAAGTATGAGGTACAAGTGCACAATGTCATTCTGGATTCCATCATTGAAAGTATTTCCCAACGTTTTGCTAAAAACAGAGAACTGTACACAGATTTTGCCCTGCTTGATCCCCAGAACTTCAATGGCTTGAAATGTAACGGTGTACCTGCAGGTGCAGTCAGTGCCCTGAGCGCCAAACTGATCAGGCTCGATAGCAGAGCAACTCCCGAGGCCTTACAGGCTGAACTACTTAGCCTGGCCACGCACTGGGACAAGCTGAAGTGATGAGAGATGAGTACTGAGGATGGAGATGATGAGCAGACCCCAGATGAAGAATCAGATGTTGTGAACACAACATGCCAATCTTGCAGAAAGTGTCCCTTCTGTTGTTATTATGTCCTACAAAGGCATAACCTGCTCACTGACTCCTACCATCTAATCAGACTGTGATACAAGCTTCTGTTAACTCTGTCTGTGACACAAGTTGCATCTGAGTGAAGCTTTTCTACGTTAAAATTCACAGGAGCACCTTGAAAACTTTATGTTGATGGCAATCGAAAAGGAGACTCTGGTTTCTTTGGACACGGATTGCATCATTAAAAGGGTGGCAGAGAAGAGAGCGCTGATGCAACGGCTGCTGATTTAATAAGGTAGGACATGCTTCTTTTTATCATGTATTTTATTGTGGTTTGGTCATAACTGATTGGTCATGGTGCTTTATCTTTCTTAATCAGGTGTGTTGTGTGCGTCTGGCCGCTACGCCACGCGCGTGTGTGCTTGTGTTTTTGGTCGCTGTGTCATGCTCGCGTGTGCGTGTGAATGTGTGTGTATAGACTGCAGTCTATGCGCCTTGCCGTGTACGCCTACAGTGTGAGAGTCATTGCTGCCTTGTATGGTGTCTCAGTGGGGAAAATGTCCAGATTCAGGGGACGTTTTTTTTTTTAACGTCATCACTTTGTTGGGCCGGTGAAAACCACATTGCCAGGGCCGAATTTTGGTCCCAATCCAGACCTGGCATCTTGTGACCAATTTAAAGTTTAAATCAAGTCTGTAGCTGAAAGTGTGCTGAACTAGTACCCTTACAGAGTTGAGTAGGGATGAGGAGGATTTAATCCTTCTCTCCATTCACCTACAAATTTTTCCTGGAAAATCTTGAATATTTTGGAAATGATTCAAGGTATCAATAAGAAAAGTTCTACCCCTCTATTCATTGAGCTGAACTCAACATTGACTCAGCGTTCACTCGAAATAAAACCGCCTTTAATCATCTGTTGTAGCTGATGTGAATGTGAAACAGGCAGAGCTGAAGAAAGTGCATGATCAGCAAAACATCTGACTGGATAATTAAGCTTTAAGAAGTTGTCATTAATTGTATAATGTTTTTTAAATTAGCTGCATTTTACTCACATTTCACGTTAATAGCTCAAATCCAGATGTCCTCCCCAGATCATTCACAGCTGCACAGTAATACTTTCCAGAGTCAGAGGACTGGATGGAGCTGAAGACAAGCTGTGGTTCTTTACCGAGAGGATGATGGTTTTGATTTCCATTCTCCTTGTACCAGGTGTATTTAGCTGCTGGGTTAGCATCACTGCTGCAGGTCAGAGTCACTGAACTGCCCTCCACTATCTCAGCAGAGGGACTCACTGACACAGAGGGAAGCTTTGGAGCATCTGGAGGAGAAAACATGAACACATTTAACATTTAATTTCAAGATGAGGTTGAGTTTTCACAGTGGAGCATTATTTCATTTCGGTGGTGCAGCTTGATTTCCTCGTGTATCAGAAACAGCATGGGTTTCTGTTACCATGGATACAAGTTGAACACTTTGATACATTAAAGATACAAGAACAGATAATCAGGGAATTTCTCTGATGATGCACAAGTTTGATCTGATCCAGAGAATTTAAAAAGTCTAATTACAAGATAAATCTTGTTTTAATACATTTTCATTGTGAGTTATTTTACAGTTTAATTTTGCAGTAAAGACGAGGAATAAAAACTAATTATGCAACATGTCTACAATCTCATGGGGAAATGATTTGGTTTTCATCCAGTTCTACAATGAATCACTAAATACCACTGAGTTACATGCAGTTAATGTGCAGTACAATAGGTTAAAGGCTCCACCAGATGGTGTCATGTCAGTGGAAGACTGGATGTAAACTCACACACTGAAGGAGAGCGGGACTTCTCATATCCTCCTACAGCACAGGAAAAACTGCCTGTAGGGTAAAAGGATACTGAATAAGAGTAAGATGTTTGTCCCCAAATGTTCTGTCCATTCTTGTACCAGATGTAGTAATGATGACCAGAAGACAACTGCTGTGACACTTCAGCTCTGCCCAGTTAGAAGACTCCTGTAATCTGCTCACCTGCACCTGGAGATCTGAATATGTGAATAAGGAACAAAAATCTTCACTTTAGACTGAACTGTCAACATAGAAACACAGTAACCTTCATAAGATGTTGAACATTTGGAACTAAATAAATAAATATTCAGATGAAAATGTTACCTGTGACAGACAGAGTGACTCCAGGTGAACCAGTATATTTCCCAAGTTCTTGGTTTGTTATGAACCTGAACTTGTACTCAGCTGAGTCGCTCTCTCTCAGGTCTGTCTCTCAGAGTGCAGTAGTTCATATCACAGTTATACTCCACACGACCTGAATACTCTGACTTTGTTTTCAGATCTACAGCATCATCACCTTTAAACCAGAATGTTTTCTCAACTGTAAAATGGTAATTGTTTGTGGTTGGGTATCTGTAGGTGCAGTATATGTACACTGTTGATCCTTTGAAGGCACAGATCTCAGTATAAGTGTACGTCACTCCCCAGCCATTCTGACTCTGTACCACTGGAACACAGAGCACATCAGAAACAATCAACATTAATAACTTCATTTAACAATCAGACAAAGTGGACAAACAGAAAATTAATAAAATGACATTTTACTCTCTTTTCTGGGATAGAGCAGCAGAACAGTGGTACATAAAATACTCAGTTGTTCTGTATCATTCTTCTCACAGCACTTCCTAACTCCTGTTCTAATTACTTAATGCTTTATGACTTTTGATGTTATTTCTGAATGAAACCAGGGTGAACAGAGAGAAGTCTAAACACAACGTCTTGCTCAGTTATACACAGTCAGTGCAAAGGAAGATGTACACATGCTTTCTACAGTTCATCTCTATGTGCACTGAGGCAGGACATCATCCAGTCTGAAGGTGCAGTGAAGTGAACAGGAAAGTATCAGACCTGTGACCTTTAATGCAGTTTACTGACCGGGATAAGAGGAGAAATATAAATTATTAGAGAGTCTGTGCTTTTCTTGGTCAGTTCTCTCTCTTCACTCTGCGGTCAGGTTGCTGCAGAGTTAAGTGTGAAAGCTAAAAATAAATGCAGCGCACTGAGGTGTGGGAGAGTTTCTAGCAGCTAAACATAAGACGCAGAAAACTGGTATCAAGATCTCTGACTTTAGCACCCGCTGAATGAGGGTAAATTGTTGGCAGATCGTCAGACCATCCGCCATTTTGGCAGACAGAGAAAACGTTCAACAGAAAGACACGTGTAGTAAGTTTAGTGTAGCCTATTATGGTGATCGGTACACACCCCTGCCTCACACACAAGACACACAGAGCAGTCAGCTCAGGTAATATCTGTGGCGGTGTTTGAACCAAACTCAGCAGTGGAAGAGGCCCAGTCCCTCCTGAGTGACAGCCGGTGAGCTTACCAGCAGCACCGGTCAGACAACAGGAGGGAACTCCGGTGTTGATGGAGAATCATAAGCTTGTCAATCAGAGACAAGAGACATCACTCGGTTTTATTTTTGTTGGCCAACTTTTGTATTGAAAGGAGTATTTTTTATTTGCTTGTTGGGATCCAGAAGAAGACGTTTTTATTGAGATAAGGACCCATTCATTGGTGGTTTAACTGAGTGTTAGGTTTCCTGTCATCTGTAAGGTTACCTTTGAAATATCAGGCTGTTAGTGATTGTTAGGTTAAGTGAAATTAATGTCATGTACTAAAAGACATGCACAATGTTTTTTGTGTTTAAAATTCGAATAACATTATTTACATTACAATATGCCTAAATGCGCAGAATGTTCATTTAGGTTATCTTGGTGCATTTCTAAATTGACAGATACAATTTCTGTGTGTTAGACAAAAATACCTGCTTGTCACAGTGGCAGGCAGTAAAGAAAGTTATTTTTGGACCTTGCTGCTGTCAACACAGAGCACAGAAACATCACACTGAGGTCAGACAGTACAAAAGGAACTAGCAGGAGTTGCAGATGAAGATATGAGAGAAGTTTTGTCAGTATGACTTCACTGTGTGAGACCAGTAGGCCTATCTCTCTAAAACCTTCACCGTGATAAAAGTAGCTTCAAATAGGAACTATTTGAAGTCTCTGTTTCCGGTTTACACTTTCTTGTCTAATTATACAAGTTGGATAATGGAACAAGCCGACGCTTTGGTGCGTTAAATTGCATTGCACGTCTTCATTCAATGCGACAATAACACAGCATAGTGCTAACATCGTTTAGGCAGCATCAGCTCTGGAAAAATGAACTCACACTGTTCAATATACATTTGCATTTGTGCAAGCAGGACAATGAAATTAGGAAATACCCCCTAAACTGGCTGTTTTCATCATACAGTGTGAACAACTGATCCTGATACTTTCTGATCCACTTATTTTCACATCTGACCTTCAGCCTACTTTTACAAGACATACATTTCCCAGATTCCCCTGTTTTAATGCAATGAATATAAGTTTAGATATTCAGTACCTGACACAGAGAGAAGGAAGACGACAAATCCACTCGCTGCTGCAGTTAAACTCATAGCTGCTCCTCTCATCTCTCTGTGTGGCTTCAGAGACAATAAAACATGTCAGCAGATAAAATAATTTACAAGGCAGATATACAGTATCACTCACATCAATAAACAATTGTACTTACAATGAAGAAGGGCGTTGTCTTTAAAGAAGCCTTCCTCTGTGTCAGCAAGCAGAACACGGATATCAGGCTGTTAAACTACTAGATTTCCTTCCTCTTTAGATTATTAATACTCATGATGAGCCAAATGCCAGTTAACACCAACATCAAAATAAAGAAGTAACGATTTGCAAACTAAGAACTTAATAAGAGAGAATAAGAAAATATTGTTATGGCCTGTTGGTATTAAACCTGTTTGCTGCTTCCCACTGACACAAGAAAAGAGAAAACACAACAGACAGGCGTGAAAGTTGGTTTCATGCATCACTTGACACGTCTAGTGCATCTTTAGACAGTGAAATAACCTTTATACCAGTATGAGTTCAAAGAGATGGACTGCAGCAGTATGGGATGCAAAAAGTCACGTGCTGAGCTCAGTGTTTATTCAGTATTGAGAAACATGTAAGAAAAGTAGATCAGAAACAATGAATTAAATTTTGCAGCTCTCTCACTCACAGTCATTGTGACTCTGTGTCACTGTAACACAGAGCACATCTGACAAGATGCTGCTGGAGGTAAGACAGAAAATATGTCTTCTTGTAATTTGGGTGAAGTGACTCTTTGAAACAGGCAGTGGAGGGAGCTCTCAGAGTGAGGAAGCCTGAATGTGCCACAACAAAGGTTCACCACTAGAGGGCAGTGAAACATCACAGATCCTGAATCAGGACGCTGAAACATTTTACCATCCATCACTGATTGTTAGGTCAAATTGAAGTTTACTTTTGGGGCAGTTAATTATTAGTGCCAGTAGTTACAGGAAGCGCAGGGTATATAGTGTTGTTCATAGCAAAATGAGACAATCGAATCTGAAAATTGGTAAAGTCTTTGTTAGGCCTCCAACTAAGGATTATTTTTACTGTTGATTAATTTTTTTGATTATTTTCTTGATTAATCGAGTTGTTCATTGGTTTACAAAATATCTGAAAATGTTGACCAGTATTTCCCAAAGCCAAGATAATGTTTTCAAATGTCTTGTTTTTTTTCATATTCAGTTCACTGTCATAGAGGATAAAGAAAGCAGAAAATATTCATGCTTAAGAAGCTAGAATCAGAGAATATTGACTTTTTTATTCTTAAAAAATTACTCAAACTAATGAATGGATTATCAAAATAGTTGGCAATAAATTTAATAGTTGGCAATTAATCATTGCAGCTCCAGACTGTGTGTTACTTTCAGCCTGTCCACCCCATTATCCCCAGGTCAGATCTACCGGTGTGCATTTCTCTCTAACACCACAGTGTATTTTCTTTGCTGCTTATCACTGAGAGTCACCAAAGTTAGAAAGTTGATGCTCATTGTGGCTCTATAAAGACACACAGCCCTGAAACTGTAAGATGCAACTTTTAACTAATTGACTGATGAAAATGGCTTCAAAAACTCACTTTACCATGAAGATAAACTTGAGCATGACAAATACTCTCAATTCCATATTTTCCTGATACTTACTGACAGTACACCAATATTGTTACTTCACAGCTGTATTACATTAGTTAATACACATACACTCACTGACGATATGGATAATCAGGTAAGTGTTAGTGGTTTTACTTTTACACTGTTATTCTTTCATGCAAAAAAGTAATAAAAAATATTCTTAACATGTTGATTTGTGGGTTTTTTAACCTGTCCTGTCCAGCAGTCTGTTACACATTATGAAGAGCTGGATGTTGTGATAGACAGATTATTATTGAAACTATTGGTTTGTTGTTCTTACCATCATTTTAACTTCTGTAACGAACTTGCTGAATGAAGGCTCATGGAAGCTCTTAATGAAGGGCTTTTGCTCTGAAAAGCTTCAAATTAAGTGAACCTCGACCTGCTCTGCTTCTATGAATGACCCCAAACAATTTAAGTGGACTAAATTGACATTTACAGCTGAAATGAATGTTCCTGAATTCCTCTTCATTAAACTGTCTGTGCATCTTTATATCAGCAACATCCCAAATCATAATAATCTGTTACACTGTGGCACATTTCATCCTCACAGTGACAAGAACTGACAGTGTGAGCAATAAGCCAAGGCAAGATTTTATTTGTCTGGTAAATTAAATAATATTATGGAAAATAAGCAGAAAAGCTGAAATGCACACAGAAGCTCCTCATGAGTCAATAAGTTATTTCTTAGGGATAATTTCAAAATAACAGTTTCAATAACAACTTTATTCCTCACATTCCTGACATAACTAACTAATATAACAAACTCTGCAGGAAATAATAAGCTTACATAATTTAATCATGTCAAACATCACCTGTCTATCGGCTGACAGGTCATCATGATTCAGTTCAACCTGCTAACACCACCATGTTGTCCTACTTTGTCTGAAGTCTGAAATCTGAAGTCGGCC